GCCCTGGCCCTGCCCCAGGTATGGTTTGGGTACAGGGCATGGAGCGGGATGCTCCTGCCCGCAGGGAGGCTGCCCTGGGCAACCCTGCGCTGGTGGCTCTGCTGCCAGGGCCACTGCCGATGACCTGTGGCCGTTGTCACCCGCGGCAGCTCCAGCCGGTGTCCCCAGCAGCAGCAGCGGTGCAGAGGCTCCTGTCCAGGCACTGAGCTTCTCTGAGGAGGGAGGTGAGATCCCAGGGCCCTGTGTCCTGCCCGTGTGTCTGTCCCTGGGTCCTGCTCACTGTGTCCACGTGTGTCGTGGTTTAGCCCAGCCGCTAACTCAGAATCATGCAGCTGCTCGCTCACTCCCCCCCGCTTCTTCCCCCTCCGTGCTCCTGGAGGGATGGGGAGGAGAATGGAGAGAATGTAACTCCCATGGGTTGAGATAAGAGCAGCCCAGTAACTAAGGTATAACACAAACCACTGCTGCTACCGCCAGTAGTAATAATGATAAGGGAAATAACAAGGGGAGAGAACATGACCGCTCAGCACCCGCTGACCGATACCCAGCCCAACCCGAGCAGTGATCTGGGCCTTCCGGGTGATTCCCCCCAGTTTCCATCCCAAGCATGACATGCTGTGGTACAGAATACCCTTTTAGCTAGTTTGGGGCAGGTGTCCTATCCCTGCTTCCTCCCGGCTTCCCGTGCCCCTCCTCGCTGCAGAGCACGAGACTGAAAAGTCAGGGTAAGTGCTACTGAGCAGCAGCTAAACCCATGGCTAAAGCCCAAACACAGCCCTTCACCAGCTACTGGGAAAGAGAAAAGTGACTGCTGCTGCTGAACCTGGCACAGGCTGTCCCTGCGGTTTTGCTGGTGTCTGCCTGTCCTGCCCATGCATCCATGTGTCACGTCCATGTGTCATGTCTAGCCCATGTGTCCTGCCTGCGTATCCATCCGTGCCACAGCTACTGTGCCTCCATGAAGCCCCTGGGGTGCTCCTTGGGAAACAGGGAATCCCGGCTCATTCCCATGCAGGACTGGAGGATGATGGTGCTGGTGGAGATGATCCCATGCAGGAGGATGCCGCGGTGCTGGCTCCGGGTGGTGCCAAACACATGGAATCACAGCGGGTAGGTGAGGGCTGGGACAGCGCCACGCTCCTCACCGGAGCCTCGGCTCATGCGGCTCATCCTGCCCCTGCCAGAGCACCCCAGGATACGCGCTGCGGGAGCGAGCCCCTGCCCAGCACCCCCAGACCCATGTCAAGGTAAGGGGGACCTGGAGCGTCCTGGGGCTGTGGGACACCGGGAAGCCCTGGGATGTCCCAGCCCTTCCCAGGGTGCCCCAGGGAGCTGTGGATGCATCAGCACCCACTCCCTGCAGGAGCTGCTGGATCCGTGGCAAAGTCTTGATCCCTTCGCAGGCTCCGAGGACAAACCCCTAAGGAAAGGTACGTGATGGGAGCTGAGGACAGGGCTGCTGCCCTGGCTCTGTCTGTGCAGCACCCCCTCATCCTGGTTCCATTCCCCATCCTCTTGTCCTTCGGCATCCCTGGAGCCACAGTGGGTTTATCCCGGCTCCTTTTCCCACCTGCTTGTCCCTCGGCATTCCCGGATCCTCGACGGGTCTCTGCTGGCCCCATGGTGCCCAGAGGGGCTGTGCCAAGGGCCGAGGCTGGAGCCACCCTCCAGCATTCCCGGCAGCGCCCAGGGCCAGTCTGACCCTTCCCACTCCCAGGAAGACCGTTCCTGGTGCCGCTGGGCCTGGAGGACATGGTGGGGGGGAAGCGCAAGAGGAAATCCCCCCGGAAGCTCCAGAACTTCATGAAGTGGTTCGCCATGGCCTGTGAGTACCGCAGCGTGTCCCATGGGATCCGGCCAGGATCCAACGGGAAGGGTCAGCTGAGCCCCACGGGGGGACCTCAACACGACACCTTGGAGGTGGCTCTGGAGGCCACAGCCCCGTGTGGGGTCTGTGGTGGTGGCAGAGGTGTCGGTGCTGCTGTCCTGGGGGGGTTCTTCCTCTGGGATCCCAGTTCTCCTGGTGGGAATGGGAACCTTTGGCTGGTGGGATCTTCAACCCTGTGGTTCCCCCAGACAACAACGTCTCAGATGGCAGGAGAGCCAAGAAGAACGGCCTGACCTTTGCCGGTGAGTAGTGGGGCTGGGGAATACGCTCTGTGTCCTGCCTGTGACTCTCAGCCCCCCCAGCTTCTGCGCTGTTCTCTTGGGGGGACAGAGCCAGGGCAGAGGGGACCCTGCACCCCAAAACTGTGAGTGGAGCCTGGGATGGCACCAGTGGCCACCCTGTGCCTTGATGGGGGAGAGCTGGAAGGGCAGGCTCCCCCCCAGGGTGCAGAGGTGCTGCCCTGCCCCTGTCCTGCTGCAGACCTGGAGGTGCTCTATTGGAAGCAGATGAAGGAGCGGGTGGCAGCGCAAAGGAAGCTGCAGCCCAGGGTGAGTGGGGCTGGAGGGGGGGGGGGGGGTGTGCTGGGCTGGGGGTACCCTGCCTTGTACCCCCGGGGTGGGGGCTCAGGCCTGTTCCCTGCAGGAGCCACTGCAGCTCGAGGAGGAGCCGGAGCTGCTGGAGGAGGAGCGAGGGGCTGAGGACGATGAAGAAGGTGCTGCACCCCCAGACCTCCCCAGTCCCTATTCCACCCCTACGGGGGGCCCCCTCCCGCTGTGACAGGGCTTGGGGAGGTCACTGAGCACACTCCCTCCTCATAGGTGACTTTGGGGAGCACGAGGACATTGAGGCCCTGGAGGAGCTGGAGGAAGGAGCCCCCAGTGAGTGCATGGCCCTGGTGGGGGGGGTTGCATCCCCTGTCCCTCTGTCTGTCCATCGTTGGCCATGTCCTTGTGTGTGTGTCCGTGCTCAGACCTGTCCCTCTGCATGTCCCCATGTGCCCTCACTGCCGCTGTCCCCCTTGCAGATCCCAGTCCCTCCAACTCTCTGTGCTACGAGGAGCTGGTGCGCAGGAACGTGGTAGGTGCCATGTGGGGGGGGCAGTGCAGGTGCTGGAGGCTGTGGGGTGCCCCCACCCCGCCTGCTGTCCCCGTGCACCCCAACCCTCCCTGTGCCCCCCAGGAGCTGTTCATGGTGGAGTCGCAGCGCTATGTGCAGGAGACAGAGCTGTCACAGCGTGTGCAGTGCTGGGAGGAGCGGATGGTGCCACTGCTGCAGGAGCAGGCAGGGATATAGGAGGGGCTGGGACCGCTCTTTCCTGCCTCTTCTTTTCTATCCCCCCCTTTTCTAACCCCCTTCTCACTTTCCCTCCCCTGCTTTTCCTTCCCCCTTCCCACTCTTTCCTCTTTTCTTCCCCCCCTTCCTTATTTCCCCCTCCATTTTCTCTCCCTTGTCCCCCTTTTTTCCCTTTCTCCTCTCCTCTCCCCCCACTCGCTGACCGCTGCCCCCGCAGGAGTCCCGCCAGGCTCTGGATGTCCGTGGCTACGGGCAGGCGCTGGTGCAGGGCTGCGGCGCCCTCGGGCACTGGCGCTCATTCGCACGGCTCGTGGCGGGGCGGCCCCCGGCCGAGGTGAGCCGGTACCTGATGGCGGCGCTGCAGCTGGTGAGTGCGGGGGGGGCTGTGCCATGGGGGGCTGTGAGTGCCCCCTACCCTGCAGCTGGTGAGTGCGGGGGGGGGCTGTGCCATGGGGGGCTGTGAGTGCCCCCTACCCTGCAGCTGGTGAGAGGGGGCTGTGAGTGCCCTGGGCCCGCAGCTCCTCAGTGCCATAGGGGGCATGAATGGGACCGGGGAGGCTGGGGGTGTTCGGGGGCTCCCTGTGCCACCACAGACCTCAGCGTTTCCCCGTCCCTTGCAGGCCAATGACTACGTGGTGGAGCTGGCGCAGGACCCGGGGCTGGAGCAGGCACTGGACACGCTGCGGCTCCGGCTGCTCACGCATCAGCAGGCGCACGAGCGCTTCCAGGCCTTCCACCTGCCCTCAGCATGCCCGTGAAGGGGGAGGGGGATACTCCCCGGGCACCCCAACCCCCCCACCTCCCACCAACCCCTCCTCCAAGCCCCTTTGTACCCTTTGAAATCCCCCAATACCCATTTTGTACCCCAACACTCCTTTGCACCCCTCCTTCATACCCCAACCCTCCGCCTTCTGTACTGTCTTCATAGCCCCAAACAGCCCCTTTTGTACCCCTAAAGCCCCTCATGTGTCCTCAACCCCTTCTTACTCATGCCCAGTGCCCCTTTTGTACTCCCAAACCCATCCTGTTTATCCCCAACTCCCCCCTTATGTACTTCCACCCCCCACATCATCTCAGTCCCCTCCGTGTGCTCCCAAACCCCCCTATGTCCCCTCACTCCCCTTCCCCACGGCAATAAACCCGGTTTTGATACAATGACCAGCTCTGCTGCTCTGCGGGGACAGACCCCAACTCCTGGGGATGCACCTGGAGGGTTCGTCAGGGGTATCAGGAGGTATTGGGGCTCTCAGTGCCCATGCCCACTGCCAAAGGAGGCATCAGGGGGAGCTGGGGTCCCCCTCACCCAGGATCTACTGCTTTTAGGGGTATCAGAGTCCCATCTCCTGGTTCCCACCACCATGGGAGCCACTGCGGGGTCTCAGGGTCCCCCACCCTGGTCTCTGCCACTGCAGGCAGTGTCAGGGTTCATGTTACCCCAGTTCCTGCTACTGTGGCGGGTGCTGGGGTCACCATGGGGGATGTTGGGGGGCCCCTTACCCTGGTTCCCACCACCCCAAAAGACACTGGGGATGTTGGTGTCCCCCATCCCTATACCTGCCATAGCAGGAGGTGTGAGGCTCTGTGTCTCCCTCACTCCCCACTGCCACAGGGGTGTTGGGGCTGTTCTGGTCCCCATCCCATGGTCCCTGCCATGCTGGGGCGGGGGTGGCTGTCAGAGTCCTCCCACCCCGGTACCCACCACCACAGGAGCCATCAGGGTCCATGTTCCCCCCCCCATAACTGCACCCTGGGGGGCTGTCAGGGTGCCCCGTGCCCCGCTGCCACAGGGGGTGTCAGCCCCCCCAAAGCACTCACACGCGTGCTGCAGGCGCTTTATTGCAGGGGCTGGTAGGTGTGCATGTGCCTGCGCACGCTGCGCTCCAGCTCCTCGGCGCTCTTGCTGCTGCCGTAGCAGTCGAGGAAGAGCCCGTCGGGGCCCAGGAGGTAGATGAGGACGCTGTGGTCCACGATGTAGTCCCCGTCGGCGTCGCGGGGCCCGGCGCTGGCGTACACGCGGAAGGCGGCGGCGGCGGCGCGCACCTCCTCGGCGGTGCCGGTCAGCCCCAGCAGGCGCGGGTGGAAGTCGCGCAGGTACCGCTGCAGCGCCGCCTCGTCGTCGCGCTCGGGGTCCACGGTGACGAAGAGCGGCTGCAGCGGCGGCAGCGCCGGGTCCCGCTCCAGCGCGGCCACGGCGCGGCTGAGGCGCTCCAGCGCGGCGGGGCACACGTCGGGGCAGTGCGTGAACCCGAAGTAGAGCAACACCCACTGCCCGCGGAAGTCGCTCTTGGCGCGGGCGGCCCCGCTCTGGTCCCGCAGCGCGAAGTCGCCCTGGGCCAGCGCCAGCTCCCGCAGCGCCTCCCGGCGCCGCCGCTGCCGCTCCCGCTCCCGCCGCTGCCGCAGCCACAGCCACGCGCCCGCCGCCGCCCCCGCGCCCGCCCCCGCCACCAGCGCGCGCTGCCACAGCGGGAGCGGCCGCGGCTCCGGGCGGCGGAAGCGGGAGAGCAGCGAGCGCAGCATGGCGGGGCTGACCTCTGACCCTGACGCGCACGTGACCTGTGACCC